GGGAGCCCTTGGTGCTGGGCGAGCCCCGCGCAGCGGCAGCCCAAACACCAGCGCCTTGTCAAGGCTGTTCAGCACAAGGCCAGAACAGCTGCGGAGGAGCGGAGGGAGGGTGACGCCAGCCCAGCCAGACCCCGCACAGGGCCTCTGGGGCAGCAGCAGGACCCCCCCGCATCCCTCCAGCTTGTCCCCAGCTCCTGCCCACTCGGGAGATCCCGCTCCCCAGCTGGATGTGCTCGTTGCCATCCTCCTGCCTGTGCAGCCCCTGCCCCCAGGGGCACCCTTGGGTGCCTCTGTACCCGTAGGTGCCGCTGCATCCCGCATCCCCCGGCCACATGGCACCGCTCTGGGACCAGCCATCGCCATGCAGGTGACGGCACCCTGCGGACCCCACGTGCCCCCCGTGCCAGTCCATGCCCAAGCCGGCTGCCAGGGCCACATCCTGCCCAGTGAGGGGCGAGGGTCCCAGGCAGGGGTCCCCATGACCAGGGGCCACTGGTGGGCCCTGGACAGGCTCCCCGCAGGACGCCCCGATGGTGGGTGCCGGGGGTGGCAGTGAGCAGATGGCGGGGCGGGCCGAGCCGACAATCCCCCTAATCCCATCAGAGCAGCGGGGCCGAGCGGAGCCAAGCCGGGCCATGGCGGGCACCCGGGCGCACGGCCGCCTCCTGCACTCGCTGCTCTGCCAGGTGGGACTGAGGGGCCCGTTGGCGCTGGGGGGAGACTGGACCGGGTGGGGGTGCCAGCCCAGGCTCAGGGGTAGCTCTGGCCCGGTGGGGTCCCTGCTGACCGTGCTCCCCCCAGCTGTGCTGCGGCTGTGGCTGGAGCAGCCCCTGCCACGGGCTCCGTGTGTCCACGGGCACCCGGATCCTCTACACGCTCCTGCACGTCCTGGCCTCTGCCGTGTGCTGCCTCATGCTGTCCCGCACCGTGGCCCAGGCTGTCAGGGAGAAGGTGACGATGGGAGCTGGGACACCCAGGGTGCTGGGAGTGCTGGGTGCCAGGGGTCCCAGGAGCACTGGGAGTGCCAGAATTGCCAGGGGAGCCAGGAGTGCTGGGGATACTGGGAGTAACAGGGCTGCTGGGAGTGCAAAGGTTGCTGGAGGTGCCAAGGGTGGGAAGGGGTGCCAGGGGTAGCGAAGATGCAGGACTTGCCCAGTGCTCTGGGGGTGCCGGGATGCTGGGGCTCTCAGGAGTACTGGGGATGGAGAAGGTATTGGGAATGCTGGGGGTGTCAGGAGTCCAGGGGTGCTGGGTGCCATGGGTGCCAAGGTGCTAGGCACACCAGCAGCCCCGTCCTGTTGCTTGCCGTGCCCGCAGGTGCCCTTCTCAGCGGTGCTGTGCGAACACTTGCCGGGGGGCACGGACTGCGAGCGGCTGGTGGGCTCCTCGGCCGTGTACCGGGTCTGCTTCGGCACCGCCTGCTTCCACCTGGCGCAGGCTGCCCTGCTCCTCAACGTGCGCTCCAGCGCCGACTGCCGCGCTCAGCTCCACAACGGGTACGGGGCTGGGGCGTGGGGCCATGCCGGGCTGCTGGGGCTGCCGGGGGCTGGGGGCTGCCGGGGCCCCGTCTCCCAGACACTCGCTGCCCCGCAGGTTCTGGCTCCTGAAGCTGCTGGTACTGGTGGGGCTCTGTGCCGCCAGCTTCTTCATCCCCGAGGACGGCTTCATCCGAGGTGCGTCCTCCACCCCGTCCCTGCCTGCGGCCCCCGCGTGCCCCCTGGGCCGGCCCCAGCTCTGCCCTCTCCCTCCAGCCTGGCACTACATGGGCGTCTGCGGGGGCTTCGCCTTCATCCTCATCCAGCTGGTGCTGATCACCGCCTTCGCGCACACCTGGAACAAGAACTGGTGAGTGCCGGGGCGCCAGGCGGGGGCCCGCGCGCTGCTGGCTCTCACCCGCTCTCCCGGCAGGCTGACGGGCGCCACGCAGGACAAGCGCTGGTACCTGGCCGTGCTGCTGGCCACGGCCGCCTTCTACACCCTCGCCTCCGCCGCCTTCTCCTTCCTCTACAAGTACTATACCCACCCGGCCGCCTGCCACCTCAACAAGGCGCTGCTCACCATCAACGGCAGCCTCTGTGGCATCATGTCCTTCATCTCCATCACGCCCTGTGTGCGGCTCAGTGAGTACCACACGGCACGGCAGGGGCTGCTGCGTCCTGGGGCTGGGGGGGACGGCTGTGGGCTCCCAGCTCAGGCCAAGCACTTGGGCACCTGGGGAGGACCAGCTCCCCCGCCGGCCCCTGCCGTGCCTCGGCACAGGGCGTTGGGCAGGGGAGCGGCAGGAGCGGGCTGCCCGCGGCCCATGCAGAGCCCATCCGCCAGCTCATGGCGCTCCTGGGGCTGCAGCGATGCCTCTGACCCTGTCCTTGCAGAGCAGCCGCGGTCAGGGCTGCTGCAGTCCTCAATCATCACCTGCTACGTGATGTACCTCACCTTCTCCGCGCTGTCCAGCCGTCCCCCGGAGAGAGGTGGGTGCTCCCGCCTGCCGCCGGCAGCTCCCCCCCGCCGGGGCGCGCGCCCGTCTCACCTCCGCCTCCCCACAGTGCTCTACCAGGGGCAGAACCTCACCGTCTGCTTCCCAGGCGTCCGGCAGGACGAGCTGCAGACAGAGGACACCACCGTTGCCGTCCTGGGGGCCGCCATCATGTACGCCTGCGTGCTCTTCGCATGGTGCGTGTGCCCACGGCATGGCCAGCCCGACAGGCACCGCACGGGGACCCCATCCCCAGCCTGTGGCACGGCCAGCGGCGCTGGTGGATGTGCCGGGGGATGTCCCGAGGGACAGCAGAGCCAGAGCAGGCTGGGCACCTGCGGATGGGCAGCACAGTGACCCCAGGCACGGCATGGCAGGTCTCCTGCGGCCGTGTCAGATCCGTGGGGTGGGATGGGCTGGGAGCCAGGCACAGGGTGGCGGGTGCCCATGTTATGCTTTCTGCTTCTCTCCCGGGTACAGTAATGAAGCCTCCTATCTCGCCGAGGTCTTCGGGCCCCTCTGGATGGTCAAAGTCTACAGCTTCGAGTTTAAAGTGAGTACGGATGCTGCCCCCCCAGCTGTGCCCCGCGTCCTCCTGCCATGGGCACCCCAGACCCACTGCTCCAAGCCCTCCTGAGCCCCATCCCAGCCCCGGGCCTGGGGCAAAGGCAGGTTCGTCCAGCCAAGCCTGGGGTCTTCCCACGGCGCATCCCCGCCTGCGCCGCTCCTCAGAGCCAGGCAGCGCCAGTGCCGGGCAGGGCCGGATCCTGCAGCAGGGCTCAGCCCAGCAGCGGTGGCCGTGGGGCCGGGCTGCTCTGTCCCAGCCGCAGCTGCCAGTGCACCGCTCTCTCTGCAGAAACCCTCCTGTTGCTTCTGCTGCCCTGAGAAGATGGAGGATGAGCTGAGAGGTGGGTGCATGGTGGGTGCAGTAACCCTCGGGCGCCTGCGTCCCAGCCTGGGGGTGCTGGCGAGGAGGGGGTGCAGGAGCTGCCGTGTCCCTGTGCTCTCCCAGGCGCCGAGCAGACGTGTGAGCAAGCAGAGAACACCGCTGGGGGACAGTGCATTGTCCAGGACGAGCGAGAGCGAGTGGTCTACAGCTACTCAGCCTTCCACTTTGTCTTCTGCCTCGCCTCGCTCTACGTCATGATGACCCTCACCAACTGGTTCAGGTAGGGTCCCGTGCTGCTGCCCAGCCCTCCTTGCTCTCGCTCCCCTTCCCTCTTGCTAGCGCAGCTGCCCAGCCGGGACTGCAGCCCTGCCCCCCCCCCCCCCCCAAGCATCGTCACCCCCCCAGCGTCATCGCCCTGCCAGCTCCAGCCTGCTCCCCGCGCAGGCTCAGGCTGCAGCGCTGTGCTCCTCACCAGCCCTCTGCTCCGGGCCATGCCAGCGTCACCGAGCTGGCACTTGCTGGGGAAGCGCGCAGCTCTGCACCCACAGACCCGCACCGCTTTGACCAACAGCCCCAGCCAACGGCAGCACTGCAGCGAGACAGGCTGGGGTCTGCAGGGCCTTGGGGTTCCGCGGCTGCTGGGACGTGGGGTGACCTGGCGGCTGCGGCTGGCACTGAGATCCCCCGTGTCGGCATCCCTCGGGTACCCAATGCCTGCCTTTTCCCACCAGCTATGAGAATGCGGTGCTGGAGACCACCTTCACGCACGGTAGCTGGTCGACCTTCTGGGTGAAGGTGTCCTCGTGCTGGGCCTGCATCCTGCTCTACCTGTGGCTGCTGCTGAGCCCCCTCTGCCTCGGCGGCTCCCCCCAGCACCGGCGCAGCAGCCCGCCCCTGCGCGTCCTGCGGCGACGACGCGCCCTGCAGCGCATCAGCGTCTCCACATAGCCCCTGCTGGGACAGACTGAGCCCGGCCCCGTGTGTGGCAGCAGCCAGGGCTGGTCTGTGCCATGCCCTGTGCCTGTGCCCTGGCCCCGCTGGGTCCCCCTGGCCTCCCCGACCCCCTGTCCCAGGGGCCGGCGGCATCTGAGAGCCTGAGGGGGACGCAGGAGGTGGGCGCTCCCAGGGACACTGGTCCTGTGCTGAGCCGGGGCCACCCAAGGGGCCAGCCAGAGCAAGCCCAGATGGCCCGCGCTCAGCCTTGGCTGCTGCTGGGCTCCCTCCAGGCAGGGAGGTGGCTTCTGCCACACACCGGCTGCCAGCCCCGCTGCCCTGGCCCGGGGCCTGCCGGGGGAGCGGGGCTCTGCCCCAGCCACCTCCACACATCAGCTCACCCACCGGTGGTGTGCTTATTGTAAATAGCTCCTTAAATACATTTTTACATAAAACTCTGAGCTGAGCCTGTGCCATCCGCCCCCACGCAGGCAGCAGCCGTGGGGCTGGGCATGGAGGTGCCCGCAGTGCCCCAGTGCCGGTCCCGTCCATGCAGCAGTCACGGCCAAGGGCACCTTCGGGGTGCTCTGCTGGAGAGGGGGGACAAGCAGGGGGGTGGCAGAGCAGGGAGCGCTGGCCTGGGGTCCGGGGCTCCAGGAGGGTGCTCAGCCCACGGCCAGTGCCCCCAGCACGCTCCCAGCTGAGCGCCTGGAGGAGCCACCCCCAGGACACAGCAATGGCTCCAGCACAACGCAGTGCTGGGTGCACCAGCCCAAAAGGTGCCAGCGAGCCGTCAGGGCACCGAGCCCCAGACGAGCACCTGCCCAGGCAGCAGGGACTGTCCCGAGCTGCTTGGCCAAGGCCCTGCCCCAGGACGCCGGGGACGATGTCAGGCCATGGGGCCCCGTGGGCACCATGCCCAGCCCCAGCTCCAGCTGCTCCCGTCCCATCCGGTCCCACCACAGCAGCTGCCCTTCTCCCTGCGGACCTTGGTCACAGCACCCCTAGACCTCCCTCCACTCTCTGCGGCTGAGAAAAGCCCCGGGGAGGATGGACAAACATGGACAGACGAATGGAGCCCCCAGCACCTGCCAGAGCCCAGTGCTCCAGTTGGCCCAGCAGGAGGGGAGACTGGGGGGAGCCGGAGGCGCTGGGTGTGGGTACCGGTGCAGGTACCAGAGCAAGCCGGGGCATTGGGGGGCCCAGCCCGGCTGCCTAGGAGGGTGCGGTACTGGTGCTGCTGCAGGATCACGGGCTGGTCCTGGGCCCCTGCCCCACCCATAGAGCAAACACGGTGGGGCGGCTCCATGGGGCCCAGCAGCACCGCGGGGCCGTGGCACCAGCTTCACCCGACGAGCCCCACGTGGCAGCAGTGGAGGATGGTGCTGGACAAGGACCGACACCCGCAGCTGGGACCCCACACTCGCAGTCGGGACCCCACACCTGCAGCTGGGACCCTGCGCCCACCGTCCCACTGCAGCCAGCAGGATACGGCCCCGCAGGAGGTGAGGGCGGCACTGCGGGGCAGGTGGCACTGGGGCCTGGCTCGGTTGCAGTGCTGGTGTGGTGGCGGCTGCACTGGGAGCAGCAGGGGCAGGGGTCCGCAGTGCCCAGCACGGGGCTGCCCTGGGTGCTGTGGCTCGCACCTCTCCCTCCCCAGGAGATGGAGGGACCCACGCGGGGCTCGGGGACGGGCATCGGGCAGCTGTGGCGCCAGCTCGGGGACATCGCCCAGGTAGGGCTGGGAGGGGGCCGGGCAGGGGTCCCTGCAGCCCCGGCACCCGAGGGATCCCCGGTGCACCGGGCTGCGCCCCAGCGGGGACCCGTCTCACCCTGCCCAGGAGAACGACCGGCTGCGTCGCAGCCTGCGCGAGGCCGAGCGCGGCGTCTCCCAGCTGCAGGCGGAGCTGGAGCAGCTGCAGGGGGACCTCTCCGAGCAGGCCCAGCAGTGCAGGAGGTGGCATTTTGGGGGAAGGGGATGGCGGGGCTCTGCATCCCCAGCTCTGCAGGAGACCCTGCCTGCAGGTGGCCCAGCCCCAGCCCCGTGCGCTGCTCCAGCAGCCGCGCAGGCAGCACCGCTGGTGGGTGCCCCACTGAGCCTGGCTGCAGGCAGGGGGGCTCTGCCAGACCCTGCGTGCTCCTGCCTGCCCTGCTGCTGCAGGGGAAACACTGCCCTGCTCAGCCCAGCCGTGAGCACAGGCAGCTGGGAAGCCTGCCCAGAGCCGCTGGCACATCCCTCCAGGCCTGTTGTTGGCAAGCCCTGTGACGCTGGGTGTCCTTGAGGCTCCCTGGCTGTCCCAGCACCGCCACGGGCACCTCTGCCTCCCCCGGCGTGGGGTGCTGGCTGGGTTGGGGCTGTGCCAGCCGAGGGGGCAGGTGCCCATGGGGACCCTGGCGCGAGGATGCTGTGTCCCTGCAGGGAGCAGCTGGCCCGGCGGGAGATGGCGGAGGAGACCCTGGCATTCACAAGCTACGTCAGGATGCTGCAGTACATCCGAGCCTGGCCGGGCGGCGGCAGGGGAGCAGTCCCGGGGGCAGCTGGGGACGTGCTCCTGCCTGGGGGGTGCCAGAGCTGTGGGTACAGCCCTGCCCCAGGCCAGCCCCTGCTGCCCCCGGGCCTCAGGCTGCTCCGTCCCGCCAGGACGATGAGCAGGAGCCTCTGCGAGAGCACCAGCAGCCTGCGCTCAGCCCTGCCGCTCAGCTCGCATGCGGAGCTGCAAGCGGTGAGCCCTGCAGCCGCTGCAGGAGGGGAGGGCCAGGACTGGCCAGCAGCAGGGGAGGGCAGGGATGCTGGGTCCCGGCCCCGCCATGGGTCCCAGCCGGCTGGGCTGCCCTCCCTCACCCTGCCTGCACCCCCAGCTCAGGGGACACAGCACAGGGGCTGCTGCCAGCACCCTGGGACCCACATGAGCCCCTGGAGCTGGAGGCCACAGAGCCCTCCCCACCCCGGGGTGCTCCCTCACCCCCCCAGGATGCCTCCATGCTGAACGCCTTCTCCCCCGCAGCCCCCTCGCCGCCCGCCCGCAGGGCGCCCGCAGGAGGTGAGCGATGGAGGGCGGAGGGGCAGCGCCGGCTGCGGACCCCCCTCCCTGAGCGCTGCCCTCCAGCACAGGAGCAGGGGGGATGGCTCCCCACGCCGCCCGCTCCCCGCCGCAGCCTCCTGGGCAGGCAGAGACCTGGGCCGCAGTGCTGCCGGCCTCGGGCAGCAGCGGAGCTCGGCCTCCGGCACGGACACAGCCTCCTCGCTCAGCAGCAGCTCGGACGACGGGCCCCCCCCCGGCTGGGGCACCAAGGTGAGGGATCTGCCCCTGGCCTTGGGCTGGGGAGGGGGACACGGCTCTGCTTGGCCACAGCTCCCAGGCTCAGGCCCCTCACCATGGCGTCTGTCACCCAGCAGGGCCCCGGCCCCACGCCAGGCAGCGCAGAGGGACCCCGCCACTCCGCCAGGCACGGCAGCAGGAGGAAGCTTCCTGCCTTCGCGCCGGAGGTAACCGGCGGCTCCCCATGCGGTGCGAAGGGCCAGGCCGGGGGTGCCAGGGGCCCACCCCGCTTCTCTCACCAGGGCTGCGAGAGGAGAGAGGAGCCCGCGCCCCCCTGCCCCGTGTACCGGCTGGTGCTGGCGGGGGACGGGGGCACGGGGAAATCCAGCTTCCTCCTGCGCCTCTGCACGAACGAGTTCAGAGCAGACATCTCCAGCACCCTGGGTACGGCCCCCCAGCGCCCCGGGTACCCGGGCCAGGGCAGAGGCGCAGGAGCAGCACCCGACTGTCCCTCCCGGCAGGGGTGGACTTCCAGATAAAGCAGCTGCTGGTGGATGGAGAGCAAACCACGTTACAGATCTGGGACACCGCCGGGCAGGAGAGGTGAGAGCGCAGGGGCTGGGGCTCCTGCTGCCGTGCTGGGCCAGCCAGGGCCAGGTCCTGCTCCAGCAACGGGGCAGCCCAGGGGTGGCAGGCCTGGCCCGACCCCACAGCGGTGACACCCCCGGCCCCAGGTACCGGAGCATCGCCCGGTCCTATTTCCGCAAAGCCCACGGCGTGCTGCTCCTCTACGACATCAGCTCCCCGAGCAGCTTCCTCAGCGTCCGCCACTGGATTGAGGACATCAAGGTAGGGGAAGGGTCCGACAGGCGCCCAGCCCCATGGAGAGGGGCAGGAGCCCGGGGGCTTCCTCGGGGAGGGGAGGGCCGTGCCATGCCCCAGTCCTGGGGGAGCGGGAACGAGCCGGGCTGCTTGCTAAGCAAGGTGTGGGGCCAGCCCCGGGAGCAGCAGGAGCGCTTCCCCCCAACTTCTCCATTTTGCCGGTGTTTGCATCGGGTCTGGAACCGCGCTCTGCTCCTGGCATGGCCGGTGCGTGCAGCAGAGCTCTGCTGCTCCCGGAGGAGATGGGGGCCACAGCAGCGGCTGGAGGCTGCTCGCCCCCCGGAGCCCTGAGCCTCCCTCCCCTCCCGCAGGCCACCGAGAGGCCGCTGCCGCTCATGCTGGTGGGGAACAAGATGGACCTGCGGCCCGGCCTGCCAGAGGCAGCGGGGGTGCGCACAGCCCACGGGCAGCAGCTGGCCATGGTGAGCAAGCGCCCTCGGGGCCCCCGGGGCAGCAGGGACCCCACCGACACCCGCTGCTCCCCCAGGCCCACAGCTCCCTGTTCTGCGAGACCAGCGCCAAGGATGGCACCAACGTGGTGGAGGCCGTGCTGCACCTCGCCCGGTGAGGAGCCCTGCCTGCCGCGGCACCCGGGGCTGCGCAGGGCCCGCGGTGGCCACTGGGCTCCATCCTGCCAGGGCGGCAGGACCGGCTGACGCGGCTGCTCCTGGCCCTGCAGAGAAGTGAAGAGGACGGCGGGCCAGAGCGAAGGCCACAGCGCCGGACTGGACCTCAGCATCCCTCCGAGGGCAGCTCCACGCTGCTGCTGGACCTAGTGCCGGGGTGGGCTGGCTGCGGCTTCGCATCCTCTCCACAGACAACCCCCCGCTCCGACTGTGCCCTCAGCGGTGCTGCGGCACAGCAGCTCACCCCGCTTCGAGCTCACCCCGCTTCGGCTCCTGGACCTGCTGGTCCCGCTGGCTGCAGGAGCGGCTCAGCCCGTGCGCAGGCCCAGCCGCCATCTCTCGGCCCCGCATCGCCTCCCTACGGCCAGCCCCAGCCTCCTTCCCCCTCACTACGACCCATCCCTTGCCAGCGCAACCCTTTCCTGGATTCATTCCTCTGGGCTCCCAGCAACCCTGTCCCCCCGGGGGGTTTGCCCCTCGCCCCCCTCTGCCCTCCGCGGCTCCCCGCAGGCCGGCGGCAGTGCCCGGGGCGCCGCTGGCTGCTCTGACCCCCAGGCGATGCCCGCGGAGCCCTCGCAGGCCGGGCCCCACCTTTGTTCCTCACCACGGAGATGCGGGCACTCC